AACGAAACAAAGGTTAAAGAAAATAAATTATATTTTAATTCTTTTAATCATAAAATAAAAATTTACTTCTTCCTTGAAACTATTGAATTAATTCACATTATCCGCTCTTTATTTGGTCAGGTTATATTATCTCTTTAACTATTGAATTATTTCACATCTACTCCTAATAAAAAATATTTATTATTTTATATATTGTGTTGGATAAAGTGAAAAAAATACATAATTTGGGAGAACAAAACAAAAAAACTTTATATGAAATTCATATCGTAATGTGAATAATTATGACAATATGATACTAATAACATAGTTGAAAGTTAGAAGTATAATTTCAATGACAGTTTAAGTAGTAATAAGAATGAGTTGTAAACTAAAACACTGAATTTAAATCTTGACAATTTTTTGGGATCAGACTAAGAAAATATTTATTCCATCATAAATTTGTTAGTCCCGATGTAAATGATTTTTCTTTGACTTTCAGACCAGGCTTAGAAGAAGGAACTAGACGAGGTGCACGCAAATTCTTCCGAACATCTCTGACCGTAGAATTAAAAAAGAAAATACTTGAAGGATAATATAAATATAACAGTTACTAAAATAATATGAAAATAGGGAAAAAATGAGGAAACAGAAATGTAATTCGCCTAAAAGGAAACTTCTGAGAAGCATTAAAGACGACTACCGTTTACTTTGACGTTCAAGAAATGTATTCCCTGGATACCCCCATAGCCATAGCCATAGCCATAGCCATGGCTATTAGAACATGAATCTCAGAAACTCCGGTTATACTCCACAATGTTCATCAATACGGCGTCGTTTCGAGTCCTCCTTCTTTGTCTCCTGTCCGCCATAGCTCTCTCAAAGTCCATCATCAAGACTCTACCGGGCTTTCCCAGAAATCTACCCTTCAAACTTGAAACTGGGTAAGTTTTATAATCTTCTTCTCTTCTTTCATCATTCTTTGATACAGCAGAAACCCCCTTTTTTTTCTTCCCATTTTCCATCGGTAGTACTATCCATCAACCTATGGTAATAGAATAGATCATATATTTTACATTTATAAATTTTGATACGGTACCATAATATTCCCCTTTTCCATCCATTTTTTTCCCACCGTACCAAACAGAGTTTAAAGTTCAGGCCACTTACGATCGGTTGTGGGTTTAAGTTACATTGGTGTAGGAGAGAGAGATGAAGTGCAGTTGTTCTACTTTTTCATTGAATCAGAAAGAAATCCGAAAGATGATCCTTTCATACTTTGGCTTCCCGGGGGTCCTGGTTGTTCTGCTCTTCGTGCCTTCTTCTATGAGAACGGTATTCCCATAATCTTCGTCAGATTGCTTTTTCAACTATAATTCTTCTCTTGTATAGCTTCAGCTCTAGTAATTAATTTGAATCTTGATAATTTTTTTTTGAACTAGATTAGTAGGAATTTATTCCTTAATAATATTTTAATTTTGACGTGAATTGTTTGTCTTTGAACCGATAAAAAAACAGTAAAGAATAAGTCAAGATGTACATAAATTGATCCAAACACCCGTTGAACCAAAAGAAAAAGTCACGCTTTATCTTGAATGAACTATGCTATTTTATTTCACTTTTTCTAGGCACTTGTATATTTTGTGACCAAAAGAACGAGTCATTTGTAGTTGGGGCGGTGTGAAATGATAGTTAAAAGTATAAATGTGAGAAATTTAATAACTCAAGAGGTAAAGTGAGATTAATGGCATAATTGACAGGGTCAAAATATAATTTACCCAAATTTGGTAATCTGACAGCTACAAAACCCTGTGGGGAGCGAAAAATTTCAAAGAAAAAGATTGCTCGAAGAAGACAACGGAATGAAAACACATAAATTGCTTCAAACAAAAGGCCCACATTTTTTTATTTTTTGATAAGTATGAAAAAGGATAGGTTAAAGGAGAGTGCTCAGGGGTCATCTGATAACCACTCACTAGTGGAATTATGAAACTTCTAATTGCGCCCATTATTCCTCTTAGAATTGAATTTAGTTAGGGTAGTATAACAGTCAACTATGAAGTACGGATACGGATATGAGATACAGTTACAATACAATACAGATATGACAATATGATAAAGTCTAAAAATGTAAGATACGAGTACGACTAAAATACGGCTATAATAAAATATATTTAATATTTTTATTATTTTCAACCAACTTAATACTTATATATTTTTATAGTTCATTAATATACAATAAGAAAAATTAGTAATTTTTTTTAGTTTTAAGAAAATATATATCGTATCGTTGTAGCATATTCACAAAGTGAAGTGACTAATTAAAGGAATCAAAGATAATATTTACCTAATATTTAGAAGTAATTTTTGTTAAGATAATAATATAATAACTTTATTTTATGCTCTTTTGACATATAATTATAGATAATACTTAAAAAACACTCATGTGCATTTGGAGTAATATGAATTTTTTATTAATGTATTGTATGATATGTGAATTCGAAAAGAGACATTAAAAGTTCAACTCAAAAATTATATATGTTGTTCGACCACAAAAGTATCCGTGAAGTATCTAATATTTAATTATTATCGGGCACGTAAAAGGTGTATCCGATACGTATTATTGAGTATCCGATATGGTATTGGATACAGATACATCAACCTCAACGAAATATCCGTGTTTCATAGGCGATCTATCACCGAGCCTCAATGTAGACTTTAAGACTCGAATTTTCAACTTTAAAATGAGAAGTTCAGTCAATACTCAATTGGACCACCCCCACTCGGTGGTGCCCTTATGGTTTGGTTATAATAACGTTGTGGATGGAAGTATTCGATATGATTGAGAGTACAATTATATGGTTTGGTTGTAATAACGTTGTAGATGAAAGTATTCGATATGACTGAGAGTACAATTATTCTCTTTCATCGAAAACTAAATGTAATAGCATTATTGAATATCTAGAGTCATAAGTTAAAATTCATTGAATGAGCACCATTTTTTCATAGAAACTGGTAGGAGTGTTCACCATACCCTACGGATAGAAAATATGGACTCTTCCAACTTGATACTTTGTGAAAAAAAAAATTCTTGACCTACTCTACCCAATCAAGTATGGTATTTCTATCCGACTTCTAGCCAAATTAATCAGATAGGAAATCAGGTGAACATTTTTGTAGTTATTAATTTTTGGATAATGTGCGTGCAAGATCCTGCACAATATAAAAACGAGAACAGATCTCTCCCTTGGTGAACTCGAGTGAGCCGGTTGAGTGACCAACCACGTGGCTTGGTACAGCCTGCGAGGTCCGGTGGTAACCTGGAACGGCAACGGGAAACCCTGGGGAAGCGGAAGAACGATCCAGTAAGGCTGAAAGAGGTTCCTGGAACAAAGAAGAACAAGTTAGAAGGGCGCCGGAGTGTTTTTCGGCGTATCCCCTCCGACGATCTAGTCAGTCTTTGAGAAAGAGAGAGGAAGGAGAAAACACTGAGTGGGTGTTGTAGTAAAGAGTTTTTTGTTGCATACCCGTTTTGCCTTTTACAAGGAGTATTTATACCTCAAAAGCTCATGATTGCTGTCAGTGTAGTCAGTAGGTGATCATTAGGTACAGGCAGTGTGCGCACTGATTCTGATGAGGAATGTCTTCTCTTCTTAACTGCTCGGGGTCCCGAGCAATCAATGCTGTGTCATCGGGATGCCGACGATACAATGTACTCCTCTCGTGGAGGATGCAATAAATGCTCTGTATTAGGAGCATTTATTGCCTTTCATTTCCGAGCCTTACCGCCTTGAATGCGGTCTCATCAAGGGAATGGTGTAATTAATAGTTTGCTTTCCCAAGTTGCGTGTCAGCAACGGCATGTGGTTTCTCTGTCTTTGATGTGATATCATACGCCACGCGTCCATCCCCTATTGGCTGTGACCCCTGCATTCCAGTACGTTCTGACACTAATTGTGTAAGACGAGGTCATGATGAATAGCCTAGACTAGCCTAGGCTAATGACCTGTACGTCAATAGCTTATCCTGGAGTAGAGGAAGCGTCCAGGACGGGATACCTCTCGGCACCGAGGAAAGGCTCATCTCGGAACCGAGGGAGGTATGCCGACCGAGGTACCATATCAGACCGAGGCCACGTGTCGGTTGTAAAACATACTGAATGTATGATCCTATATGACGAGTACCTCGGGGCGAGGACCCTGTGCGCCGATGGTGCTTGATCTTAGCAACAGTGTTTTGGTAATACCGAGGACACGTGTCTTCATCATGGAGCATTTCAGAAAAGTCCCATCAGATAATTTTAACATTTCAATTAAATGACATGCGCCAATTTTACAACAAAATAAACAAATAACACTAAAACTTAAAACAATTACAACAACAATTACAATAAGACACAAGAAAACATAAATATCAATCCATCATAATTGTTGTACAAATACAATTACAATTATTTTAAGTTTAAACCATATAGTTAGGGAATTAAGGTTTTTATATATATATATATATATATATATATATATATATATATATATTAATGCGGGTAAGGTAGGGTAAAAATACAAAAATTAATGGCTATTCCGCATTTCTATCCAATTTTTTCGGTTAGCTGTTCAATAGAATCGGGTAGGGTAGGAAATTACGGATAATCATAAATTTGAACACCCCTAGAAACTGGCAGGCAATAGAATCTCCTTGTGTAGGGTAGTTTTAAAAATCGTCCCAGACTTCAACTCGGCAATGGGTCACCGGTAGGGGTGACAATTTCTAACATGACTCAAAAACCATATGAAATTAGTAGTTAGAGTTGGTCATTTATCGACACGAACATATAAATAACACAACTCGTTAACACGAATAATAAATGAGTCGAGTTAGTGTCAAATACGAACAACACGAAATTAATACGATTAACACATTTAATTAGTATTATAAGGTTAAAATATTAATTTTTATTATATTTTATCAAGTAGCAATATAATTATTGTTAAAAAAGTATATTTTTACTTATTTTTATTTTTATATTTATTAAATTAATTTTCAGTTTATAAAAAAAGTATGAGCATAGGTTTGATTAAGTGATAATTAAATTTTAGACTTAAATCTGAAAGTTAAACATCAGTGATTCTTCATCGTAGAATGGTTTAGAGGTGAATTTATAATTATACCTGCTAGAAATATTTTTATTATGCTAGTTTTTTTTATCTTCACCCCGCTGCACACCATCATTTGTCTTGGCAAATGCTTTCTTTTAAATGGTTTTACCTTTCTTTGTAGGCCCTTTTACATTTAACTATGCAGATTCCTATTTAAACAAGCCAACATTGGTGTTGAACCCATACTCTTGGACAAAGGTTTTATATTTTTCCATACAGCTTGGTTAGACTACAATATTCAATTAATTCATGCAAAAAAAAAAACCTCTCATCTCTCAATTAATGAAAAGTGGGGTTATATTTTTGTAGGTTGCAAACATAATATTCATTGATCAACCTGCTGGCTGTGGATTCTCCTATGCAAAAACTCCGGAAGCTTACAACACCAGTGATACTATATCAGCAACACTGACTTATGATTTTCTCAGAAAGGTGATACAAACCTATTTGAAAAAAGAAAGTTCAGTTGTATGGAGTTTAAGTACATGATCTTATTCTGTAAAGAGCTTCTAAATCACCATTATAGGACTTCTTGCATGAATTTTTTTTATTTTTTATTTTTTGCATGAATTTTTAGAAGCCTATAATTATATTGATTAATTGAGAGTGATGGATTATACATCAGCATTCCAACATTTTCCTCGTGCAACATTGGAGAACTAATGAAACTAATAAGAAGGCTTGTTTAATCTTTTGATTGTGATATGATGCAGTGGCTTATGGATCACCCCAAGTTTCTCGACAATCCACTATACATTTGTGGCGTTTCCTATATGGGCATGGTTGTTCCAATCATTGTTCAGGATATATATGATGGTATGTGTGGTCATGGAGACTCCTTTGCTTTCTGATGTTTCTTTGTATAAATCTTTATTCATGATAAAAGCTGAAACCAAGTTCTTCATTGAGCAAGATTTGGATCATGCTATGGATTTTCATTCTTTTTTCGACTTTTTTTTTTGGTATAGGTAATGAAGCTGGAAATGAGCCACCAATGAATATTCAAGTACCTGATTCCATTTAAGATTTTCAATGGGTTGAGTTTCATTTTATTCTATTCTAATTCATCACGAGTTTCATTTTATTCTGAGTTTCATTTTATTCAATTCAGGGATACATGCTTGTCAACCCTCTAACAGATAAAAATAGTGACGTTAATTCCAGAATTAAATATGCTAATCGTATGGCACTTTTATCAGATGAACTATATGAGGTAACTTCTTATACTGTCGTACTACATTTTTGAGTTTTTTCGAGTTTTCTAAGCTCCCCAGGAACCTGTAAGTGATAGCTAGTAGTACAGTACTGTGTATAGATGAGTCAATAAAGAAATCACGAGGTAGACAAGTTGGTCAGAAGTTCACTATATATAGCTAACTGGATATATTCCGTTCGAGTGTCCTCTTGGGGTCATCCTCGAGAATTTATCCTCATAAATTTCAATGTTGGACAAAGAGGCTGCAAGTGCGTGATAGGATTGGTTAGGTGCTTGGGAGATCCGGATACCTTCTAATTAGCATAAAAATTGAATCAACCAGAAGTATTCTTTGCAGAAATACGAAAATCCTTCCCTGTTGTAATTAACCTTGAATTTTTTGTTTCATTTCAAAGACTCGTTCTAAAAATCTGTTTCCTCAGTCAACCAAAGCAAATTGCCGTGACAATTACATACAAGTAGATCCTGATGACAGATTATGCACAAGTGATCTACGAGTAGTAGACAAGGTGAGCCGGATTTTCCTACCTTGTTTTTCATAATGCATTTTGTCATATTCAGTTTCTATAGTCATTAAAAAGATCTTCCATTTGATTGTAGTGCCTCGAGAACATTTATTTTCAACAAATTTTAGAACCCTTCTGTGGTACAACAGTCGCAGAACCAAACTTGCTGATACGGGGCAGAAGCTCTCTTGAAGAGAATCCCATAGACCTACCTCGAGAACCATGGTGTCGAGTAATGCCACTCCCTCTCAAACAATTGCAGTAATTTGGACTTCGTTGAGAAATATTAACATGTTAATCTTTTTATTTTTATAGGAACATAACTATTATTATGCTGATGTTTGGGCTAATGATATAGCTGTTCAGAATGCTCTTCACATCCTCGAGGTACAAAATTACATATAATCTAACGAGAATCAATATCACATTTGATTTTATTTAATCAACCCATTAAATATGATCTTTCAGGGAACAAAAACAGAGTGGGTGCGATGCAATAAGACTTTTGAATACTCGTTTGGCAGAAGTGCAGCCATATCTTACACATTTAATGCCCCCAGCACTGTTGGATACCATCGAAGTCTAACATACAAAAATTGTCGAGCTTTAATAACCAGGTAATTTTATCTTTAAAACTGTTTTTATTCCTCTTTCTACTGCACCTCTGAACAAACTTTCTTTCTAAACAAAAAAAGACATTTTTATATGGACGTTGTATGTTTCAAAAAATGGAAAAGGGATAAAGAAAAGGCATTGTAACCTCAAAAATCATCACAAATGTAGTCTATGGATGCAATTATTGGGCTTGTTTGTTTGTTTGTTGTAAGTTGTGACACATGGCAATGGTTCACAAATGCATAAGACCGAACCAATTTGCCCTTCGATCCTCTTTTTGCACTCTTTCACTAAAATACCATACTTTCAATTTATTTCCCAAACTATTGTTTTTTAAACATGCTTTTACATTGCAATGCATGACGTTGAATCATGCTTTTATGAAAGCAACGGTAATTTGGAGAATAAGTTTGGAAGTGCTGTATTAATGAAAAGAAGTTGGAAAACTGCCTTAGATTTGTTGGAGAGGTGATACAATGGACTCCTACCTTAACCAATAACCTGAAATGAACATTTTTCAAACTATGTGCATGTCTTGGTGCATCTATTACCCTATATTTTGAGAAAAGGAAGGGAGTCTTGGTTTCTCCTTCTCCAACCGCTCTCATATCCAAGTTTTATGTTCTTTCAGCGGTGATCATGACATGGTGGTTCCACATCTGGGAACAGAGAAATGGATAAATTCTTTGAACTTAACAGTTGAAAGTGGTTGGAAACCATGGTTTGTTGAAGGTCAAGTAGCAGGGTGAGCTTTTGAACCTCGAAACATTTTTGCTACGTAGACATGGGCTGTTTTTAAACTCCCAATAATTGAGAGTTCCTTGCAAGTATATATTATGTAATTTGTGGATGATTAACTAAAAGTCTCTTAAAAAATAAACTGATAACATAATTTGTTTTATGCAGATATACAGTGTCTTATACACACAATAACTACTCATTGACATATACTACAGTCAAGGCATGAAATCTTTAACTCAAATCTTTATTTCAATTAATGGAATCCGTAAGGTGAAAACCAACGTTAATTATTTCTTCATACCTTGTACAGGGAGCGGGTCACACAGGTCCAGAGTACAAACCGAAAGAATATTTAGCTATGATTGATCGGTGGTTTGCTTATTCCCCTCTTTAATCCACAGTTACAGCTCTAAATTAATTCAATCGTCCTGCCTCGTTCATTATTTCAAATTAGATATAGGTGACCTACTCATATATATCTGATTTTTTTCAATTTGACGGTCAAAGTCTCGGACAATTGATTACCTTTTAATTATTTTGTTACGAGGCTTTTGGGAGTTTCCTAAACTTTATGTCTTCCGTGGCTTTCGAGAAATAATGTCACCTTCTCATTTTTTCAAGTCTATCTCTAGACACTGGGGACTATCATTTTTTTCAGTACTATGAGGTCCATCCTCAACGACAGTTGCTTGGACGTCTAATAGAAGGTTTACCACCCGATGAACAAGTTCTCATTGTCACTAACCACAATTTCGCAATAAAGGAGATACACTATAAGAGATGAACCAATAATTATGGAAGATATAAATCATATAATACATATGAGATTGGTGTTGAATATTATTTGAGAAATCTATAGTAAATAATCAAGTTGAGTATGTTTTCATATAGATTGTGTGAGATGAGTATAGAAAAAAACCCTAAAGGTGAAAATTGAAATAAATTTAGTCATTAATTGAGTAAGTATAGAAAGTGGTGCCTTAGTTACCAATTGGGGTGGGTATAGAATGAGTGTACTTAGTAGTTTTGTAATTTATAGTTTTATGATTTTCTGATAGACGTTTGTGATTGGATCACATAGATACAAATTAAGAACTTTAAGGACCAATTATATATTTTACGCATACTTTGATGTTAAAACCATGAAAAAAAAATGTTAAAACCATGGATCCACCCCCTTATTGCATATTTTATCCAACACTTTTCTCTAATATTCCAGTTATTAAGTTAAATTCTCAATTTATTAAAACACAAAAAGGATCAAGATTTATCAAATTTTCATTTACTTTGATCCAATGGTACAAATGTAACTCAAAAATTTTAATCCAGCTCAAAAATATTATATTCTCTGCATAACCTTTAATGTCTAATAACTCAATCAACACGTTCTCCAATAACAAACAACCCCTTAATCCTCACATAACTATCCTTTTTTTTTTTGTTTAAATATAAATATTGCATAATCAACGTTCAATTTTTAATATTGTATAGTATTTTTAGACACAAAATTATTCCTAGTGTGATAATAAAGCTCACCAAATAATCCAACTTAATACCTGAACCACAAGCACCCTTATAACATTAAAAAATACAGGGATTAAATTCGAGGGAGGGATAGATGGTCTGTTTAGTAGAATAGATTACAAAATATGATATATGCATTTTTCCTCCATAAAAGAAAGAAATTTATTTTCCTTCCCTTTTGGTTTGTATAATGGATAAAAAGTTGAAGGGATAAATTTTTTATTATTTGATATAAGAGAAAAAAATAAAAAGGCATTTCAAAGACATTATAAGAAAAGAGGTGCAAGTAATAAAGGTATAAACGTAAATCTACTTCACAACAACATAGCAGCCACCTTTTCTCTCCAATTTTCCAACCTCACTTTTTCGTCCACCCATTTCAGACCTATCAAAGATAGGCAAAAAGTGAATGTATGATCCTGATTTTTTTAAGTAGAAATATTAAAGATACTAATGATGTTGGGGTAAGACAATGTTTGTTTTTTTTTTTTGAGCAATGGGGAAAAGGGTGAATATTAGAATAATAAAAGAATTGGAAGAAAAGGACAGTTAAATGAATGGAACGAAGAAAGGGATAAAAAATAATAATAATATAACATGGAGGGTGAGTGGCCAATTGTTCACCAGTGTATGTGTGTGTTTTGTCAATAAAGTTTGGTGGTGGTACTGGTTAGATGCATGTGAGGTCTTCCACTACATCTCACGTATGCATTTAAAAGAGTGTGGTTTACAAAATTTATATTTGTGTGATGATTTTAAGGTACGAGTTAATTTATAATATGTTTATTTTTGAATCTCTTTATTTATAAAGAGTTTTTTTTTTGATTATTTTTTATTGTATTCTATTTTATATTATCGTAATTCTGAAGTTCAAATTTAATTTTTTCGAGTTCAATGATCGTGTTTGAGACCGCATGGTGATAGTCAAAAGTCCATTGCATTATGAGATGTCAAAGCTTTGTTCTAATCTCGCATTATGTGGATATGCAAAGTATGTGTTGATTCGTTTCTGTTGTTATTCAAGATACTTGATATTTGTTACGTGATCTTTTATTTATTTGGTATTCAATATCATTAGACATATTATTTTTGGTCATATTATATATTTTTTTGTTTTATTTAATATTTTTAGTATAATTTTAAAGAATCAAATAGGAAATAAAAAGAATTAAAGATAGGTGGATCTCGATAAAATTTTTGTAATACTGAAATTTAAAGATTTATTATTATTTTAAGATTAAATTGATCATTATAATTTTATTGAGAGAGAGAGATCCGACAATTTAAAAGAATTGAAAGTTGATGAGAAATTTGCATATTCTAGTCATAACCCATGTCTAAATGTACTAAAAAACATAAAATTTGAGCGTCCAAAAAATTGATCTCACTATATTAAAATTTTTTAATATGTGTATATTATCATATATGAATAATGTTTGAAATAAAAATTATGTTAAATTACAAATTAATCAAATATTAAATAATTAAATATGTGATAAAAAAAGTGATGTGATGTTTTTAAGAGAAAATATTCAAAAAATAAAAATTCAAATCACTATATATTTTATTATATAGACGTGGATTTAAATTTAATACATCACATCACTTTTGTCAATGCTAGATATAAATAGTCAAAATCACCCCAATAAAATAAAGAGAAAATTTTGGTACGGTGTCGTCGCTTATTATTTTTATGATAAAATTATAATTTTAAAAAGAAGAAGTTACAACTGTTCAAGATAATTATAATTAATCACAAATACACATGATTAAAAATGACGTTTTATTGAACAGTTTTAATTTTTCTCTTATGAGTTGTAATTTAACCGTTAAAAATTATAACTTAATATTTGATAATTATAATTTCGATATCAATCTTAATCGATCATGATTTTTAAAAATTATAATTTATACCTTAAAAAAATTATAACATAATTTTAAAAATATATATACCTCTTTCGGGACCGCCACGGGATTTTCGAACCAAAAAACAAGCGGATCTTTAGGGGGGTGGGATTCACCGGGTGCAGCCGCTGACCCCACTGGCTGCTGCACTTAATTTATTATAATCGATCATAATTTTTATAGATGGTTTATGATTACAATTTTCAAAAATCTAAGAATTAATATTGTAATTTCCATCCTTCATGCCTCGCATAGCTGATTCTAAATCCCTGTGGTATTGGTGTTTCATGTGTTGAAATCTTAAATCGGGAAAAAAAAAGTAAAAATGTACTAATATATTGTAGATGAACTGACTATTTATAAACTTAAACTTTTAAATGGAGATGAATTGCACACATATATACTAGGTCTTAGATTATTAGGTTCTCTATCTTCCAAAAAGTGGTATTAAAACTAATGATTGATGATTCGGGATAAACTCGTAAACCCCACTTGTTGAATATGTGGAGGTTATCACCTTACATAAAGAGGTAGTTTTTTTGAAGAAATGGAGTCTTTTTTGACCACTTATTTATTTATTATTAAACGGTTATATCACGCAACAATATTGACATGTCATAACAGTTACACCTAATATTTACTCATGTTTGTGTGCGTAAGTGTATATGTGTGCGCGCGAGAGAGAATATATCTGATAGATTTTTTTTTTTTGGAGTTTTATGGTATTTTATCTTGTGCGTTTTGGGTGGTTTGGGAATTTTAGGATAAAAATTTGCTTATATCATCAAAATTTAAGTTATTTTTCAAACAGGTCTTAATCGCAAGGAGTAATGTGTTATACGGAACTATGGACTTGTGTGTGTTTGACCAACCAAATAAAAAAAAATTAAGGGGGTTCAAATGTAATTTATCCTTCACAAGTTTTTTCTTCCGGCTGGCTGCGTGTAGGTTGAAAGCCGAAACTGGGTGCATCATCTACATGAGACGTGTGTGAGTCAACATCGCCAAAAATTCAAAAAGGTCAGTGAAGTGGGGGGCAGATATGAAAGCTCATGGGCTGGAAAATAAGGGAATGTTTGGTTTGGGTTCACAAACCAATTTTTTATTCTTAAATCTCTAAAAACAAGAGAGATATTGTTTGGTTAGTTTTTTATTTTTCAATTTTTTGAAAATTTTGAGAATTGAAGTGTAATTTTAGAGAACAACATTTTATAGTTTTCAGTGTGTTTTAAGATAAAATAAAAACACAAGAACAACCTCATCTCCAAATTAATGAGGTCTCCCTTTCGAATTTCGTTGGCGACAAACAAATGGTGACTGTAATCGAGCTTTACTAAGCTCTCGCTTCTTCTCCACCACTCTCGCTAAACTCTCTCTCTCTCTCTCTCACTCACTGAGCTCTCTCTTCTTTTCCACTGCTCTTACTGTAGCCTTCTCTCTGTCACGCAATTCTTCTCCACTCTCCCTCTCACACAACTCATTTCCTCTCTCTCTACAACATATTTGTATACGTATAAATCTGTGTATATATACAGATCTATTTATTTTTTAGATAGATTTTTGTCTGTTGAATTAATTCTACATCAATTTTAAAATAATCTCAACCACAAAAAATAAAAATTATTTTTTTATTTAAAAAATTTAAAATATTTTTATATTTTATTATATAGATAGTTAGCAACAAAATATTTTGCACAAAACATAAGTGTTACATATAATTTAGCCAATCAAACATATCAAAAGACAGACAACAACATATTCAACTCAGACACTAATTTAAACTTAAATTTAAATTTTGAGTATATATGGTTTAAAAGCCTTGTCCAACCTTAAACTCAAACTCATACCAAATTAAGAAAAAATTTATGATTTTTTATGAGCCGGTACTTAATTTACCACTTAATTATGAAAAAATACTCAATACAAAATATTTTATATCGGAGATATTTTTTTTATAATATAAATGCTCATAAGGTAGCAATTATATTACACAAAGAATGGATAAGGAAACTATCATAAATTATACAACAATTCTATTAAATTCGCAACTGTTATATCCCTCAAAACATGGGTTTTCAATTTTTTTTTTTTTTAAATCTGTTATAAAATCCTTCAATTTTCAACCAAAAAAAAAAAAAACACAAATGTTGAAGCACCATTGAAAACTAGTCTTCCTTCTGTTTTGATTCTAATTGCCAATAATGTGACAT